TGCGCTTTCGTGCGCTTTCGTGCGCTGGCTGGGTTGGGTCGCTGCGGGCCGCTGCCGGAGACTTTTCTCCTCGATTCGACCAATTTCATTTATTTTGGCCGGATTTCGTTTGTTTGCTTCTTTGTCGGCGCGTGCTCTCTTCGTGCGCTTTCGTGCGCTTGGTTTTGGGCTGGGGGGCTGCCCGGGGGGCTGCTCCGGTGCTCACGTGAATCTGAACTTTGGCAATCCTGAAATTTTGTTCCTTCTCAGTTCCAATTTCCAATGCACAGAGCCTTTGGCTGTTTGGCTGGCGGTGAGGTTTATTCCAGGGGTGTGCTTTTTACGTACTCTATGATTATTCAACTCTGTGACTCTATGATTCAACAGGAGGTTATGTTCAGTTCAGTACCGATAGGAAATGATTCAGGCAGTGTGTCGAAGTGTTTGGTAAGACTGTGATCATGCACGCTGTTAGATTCCGCCGGTCACATCCCAGGTGCAGCAGCATTACTTGTGTAACTTTATTTCAGAGTTGCACGAACTGTCAGGCAATGCTCGGAGGTGCCCGGCGGGCAGTGCCGTGACAGCTCAAAGCTGAAGCTTGTTTATGGGGACTTAGGCAATCCAGCCTTGCTGAAATGGCGAGTCTTGTGGCGCCTGATGAGTGGTCTGTTGCCAACGGAAGCAGTGTGGGCAGCCCCTCCCTTTCGCCAGGTGAACCGCCGCAGCTTGACAAATCTCCTCTGAAAGGCAAAAGGTATCGGCATGGCTCCCTTGCAGACCTTGTTTCCCGTCGCAATCTTCCACCGGGGCCGAAAGACTTAGGAGAGCTTGTCAGCTACCCACAGGATGTGCTGCGGGTGCTTTTCTCTGATGCAAACCGAGCCCATCGTTGCATCAGCTTGCTCTCCAAGGGTCTGACCGATCATTCCGATTATTCAGGCATTGCGGCTGAGCGTGAAGCTAAGCGACTTCTGCTTCAGGTTCTAGCTGAGCAGTACTGTGTGAGTGTGGACTATGAGTACAAGAAGTCGTGTGACATTGATCCATGCTGCCAGCAAGTCCTGTGCCACATGTCTGCTTGTCTGGACAATAACGAGTCTTGCGTCTTTGCTGACATTCGAGATCAGATTCCTGAGGAAGGCCGGACCTTCTGCGAGGAGCTGGAGCCAAGCCCCACAGACACTTGGTTGTCTCGTGAGGATGTAGAAAAGCATTACGGTGACATCAAAGCCTTTCTGTTGAAGAGCAGTGACTGGCTGGTGAACGAGGACTGGGTTCCCATGTATGCTTCATTGCTGGTAGGCTAGGTAGCTCCCTTGGATTTTTGTATGCTGCAACCATTCAGTCTTTCCATTACCCATCTTGATTTGTCATATCTGTGACACGCAGGATCATCGAGCATACTGCCTGGTGCATGACAAACATTGCGTGGTCAACAAGCCACGCTGCACCCTTCGAAATCCAGAGTCGCTTGTGATCGCGAACGCCGGGAACTGTTGCCAAGGCTGGAGTTCCGAGGGAAAGCGAGCAAGGGGTGCCCACCTGTCACAGGTTCCACTAGCGATGTGGGTGTGCCAGCGCAAAGCACTTGCTGCAAACGGCCAAGAGGACATGTTCTTCCAAGAGTGTACTCCGTTGTTTGATATACAGGAGCATTTGATAAGCCCCCTTGAGTCCACGCATCGCGTTGTGCAAGTTGTGGCCGGGCCACGGCTTTTGGGGTGGCCAGCTTCGCGAGATCGCCGCCTCTCCGCAGGGCTTAGCCTTGAGTCCCTTGTGTGGGTAGGGCCCACCACAGCAGAAGCAATCCAGGCAGATTTTGAGAGTTTGTTTGCACGGCGGCCGCAGCTCAACGGCAGCATCTTCCTCCAGGAGGATGAAGGACTGGTGGCTGATTGGTGCTCGGAGCAGATGCAGAGGAGGTCTTGCTTCTTTGATCAGGTCCCTCAAGGCAAGCATCTTTTGCGTGCTGTCCTTCCCCCAGGCCAGCTTCAACGGGCGGAGCAGTATGATGCAGAGAAGAGCAAACATGCAGGGCTGGATGGAACCATGTTCTGTGATGTTGAGCACTGGTTGCATAGCCCGGGGCCTGATTGTGGCCCTATGCTTCCGTGCCTGCTCACCCATGGCACGATTTTGGAGTTGAGCAGGTACAGATTTGTCATGCCGTCCGAACGATTCTTGTCCCTGGGGTTCCACAGCATAGCCGGACTAAGCGACACTTATGCTTGGCCGCTTGCAGACTTCGTCCTTGCTCAGTCGGAACGCACTGTGAAGCATCAGGCTGGCAACAGCCAGTCCTTGCCTGCCATTTTGGCGTGGCATTGCTATGTACTTTGCAACACGATTAGGCGAGAGAAAGGCAGCATTTCCCAGATCGGCTCTGCTGATCGTGAGGATGAAGATGATGCTGGCAGTGAGGTTTCTTTAGCGGTGGCACGTAGGCTAGAATTTTAAATTCAATGTTAGTTTGACAGCTCGTGTGTGCTGGGTTGAATAAATATGAAACTACCATATAGATATTGTATTCTAGCTAGTGCAGTCAAAGGTCATCAAGTCAAAAGGCACCATGAGCTCTCGTCCAGTCGGCCTGACCTGACAGGTGATCTTGAGTCCTTCCAAGCTGGCTTTGGGGAGTGAAAGCAAAACCCCCGCCCGCTTTCCAAGTTCGCATGCTGCATGCTGCACAGGAATGTAATGTCGCTGCTGCTTCAAGCTGTAAACTATTTGTGTGTTCAGTCTTCTGTTTGCGCCAGATGCTAATCAGCTGCTAGTCGTACTTGTTTGCAGAGAGGCTCGAGACTGCGAGTCGCCAGCTTCTTCTAGTTTGGATTGTTGTGCATTAGGTCCGTCACTTGCGAGATTGCGGCATGATCCAACAGCTCCGAAGCCGGACTTTGATGCTGCAGGATCTAGAATGTCAGGGAAACTTCAGTTGTGAGAGTCTCCCTCTCCAGTTGTCACTTTCCCTCTCTCTCTCTCTCTCGCTCTCTCTCCCGCGTTTTTCTTTCTCTCCATATGTATAACTATATATATATACACTTGTATATCTATATATATATATATCTCTCTCTCTCTCTCTCACAGCAGTTCGCCGCATCTGTCAGGACTCCCAGGACCCAAACAGCCCAAGCGGCAGGCGGACTTGTGGCAGTGGCAACGGTGGCCGTGACTCCCGTGCCAGGATTCCTCGTTATGGTAACTTGTCAACTCGTTTCTATGTCCTCCTCGAAAGCCTGCCAAAGCAAGCCCTTCCTGACCAGCCGCCCCGTGGGCAATTCCAGTATACTTTGCGCTGGTCAGAGGCTATTCTCATCAAGTGTGACTTGCGTGGATGTTTCCGAGTCCAACACGAATTCAAGCAGAAGACATTCTCCTTCGGTAGTGTGGGGCATGCTGCTGAGGCATTCAAGCAAGCCAGAATGCAGGCAGATGTATGGAAGCAGTGCCCTCCTTGGGCGCCTGTAGACCGTCGTTTGCTTCAGGAAAGGGCCTTTGATGCAAGAGGTCTTTTGGCTTTGGAGGACATGCCGCGGCCACCAACCGCTGCTGCTGATGCTGAAGCAGCAAACTCTGATTCAGATTCTGACTCATCCAGTCCCTCTTTCATCCCAGACCCAGCAAGGCGTTTGCGCAGGCTTCCAGCCCGTGCAGAGATCGACGACGAGACTGATTGTGACAGTCTTCGTGATTTTGAAGTTTATGCCGTTGCTGGGGAGACGTTCACCGGGAGATACAGGATGTCAGCTTCAGCCGCTAGCAGCAGCAGCAGCAACGATTCAATCATTCTTCCCGAGCCACCGTCAGGCAATGACCCTGAAGCCCGCAAGCGCCAGCGCACACGTGACCGTGACACGTGCTAGTGTGGCTGTGGCTGCGACTGTGGGTTCAGGGTTTGACCTCAGTGCCCAGTGTAGGGTTTGCTGCTGCTGATGCGATGATATGATCATCGTCTGGAAGTTGACATGCCCAACTGAGTCCGACTGAGAGTGCAGCCTAGGGTGGGGTGGTGGGGTAGGTCAGATTTATCGTGTGAACTCGGTCGAGGTGTTTCATTTTGTTGTCATACAGAATCCCAAAACTTGTACGCAGGTCGCAGGCGTCAGGTGTTGAGTGATTATAACATACTTTGGTTTACAGTTCACAAGATCAAGATTCATAACGATATCCGAGTCTGCCCGGTCCCAAGATTTGAGTTCTTGGTACACTGTTTTGAACCGTGTGACGCTGCAAGCTTCTGCCCAACTTGGGGTGGCATTGGCGTTGGCAAAAACCTGCTAGCCTCGACAACCACGATCTTGCTTGATGCTGAGCAAAGTATGGTATCATCAATGCGATGTGTAGTGTCTGTAGTGTAGTATCAGACCTAGCATAACCGATGCTGTTGGTGCGAGAGGTAGATCTCAGCCTTGCAACAAGATTTGTAGGCCAATGGTTTTTTCAGTGCGTTGGTCCGCTGCTGCTGTGTCATGTTGTATGTGCTACATGTCACCCAGAGTCTGTTGCATGTAATGTTTTCCTTGTTGTGACGAGCTGAACCGACTCGACCGGTAGCTTTGTTTTGTCCTCAAGGCGTGTTTGTTGTGTGTTGTGCCAACATGGATGCTCTCGTCGATGCTTTTGAGGAGCCGCCACAGGAGCCTGATGAGGCTCTTGAAGAGCCTGGCCAAGGCAATGGCCGTGGCCGGGGCCGGGGTGGAAAAGGAGGAGGAAGGCAGGGATCAAAGACAGGGGGGCGTGGAAAGGGGTTAAACAAAAAGGCCACGGCAAGTGTCTGTGTGTGCCCCAAGTGCCCGGCTCCCAAGTATCCGGGATCAAGATTCTGTTCGCTGTACAGCCACAAGCGAGCATATGATAACATGCTCTATCAAAGAAAGTCACGCAAGGACGTGACGCCGGAGCAGGCTGAAGCTTTCGATGAACGGATGAAGATCGATCACGAAGCGGGCAAGGAAGTTGCCCAATTCGCCCTCGATAACCCTCCGGAACTCCGGAAAAAGGGCTTGGTGGACTTTACACGCTTTGTGCGAGTGAGAGGAGAGCGCTTGGCCACCTGCCGACAGGATGGCTGCGTGCCCTACACTTATGCAGCATTCATCAAATTCGCCGAGAATCGTGAGGGCTTGTCAGAAGAAGAAGGCAAAGAAATGTGGAACGAGTATTACAACAAGAAGGACATCGAGAAAGACACCCTTGGTTGGCGAGGAGCCGAACGCCTTTGGCTGCCACTGCACGAGCTGAAGATGAATGATCGTCAGCACTACGTGGACAACCAAGTCCATGAGGGCAGCGACGAGATCCGTGCCCCAACAGCAGCGGATCGGAAGATGTTGAAGGACGCCAGAACACGTTGAACACATGCTGAGTTGAGTCGCAGTTTCATTGTGCTATGGTTTCTGCAAGAACCTTGAAAGCTCACACACGTTTTCTGCGGCTGACTTTGTGACGCACAGTAGTGTGGGTGTGTGGGTGGGTGTGGATGTGTGGAGATGGTTGTGTCGGCATCTTGCAGCAGCAGCAGCATATTTGTGCCCCACGTCCCTTGTGTCAGGAGCATCTTGCCCGGCAAGAACTTGATTTTGATGATGAGCATTTCCAGATATCGCAGGCCCAGGCGAGAGATCTTGCGAAGGGCCCCCAGGGCCAGGTCAGCACGCCAGTGAAGCAGAACATCAAGTCTGAAGAGGGCCATGGCGAGGACTATCTGACACCTGAGAAGGTGTGTGCTGTGAAGATTTCACGCGAGGCCCCTCAGCTTCAGCGCAGCATGGAATCTTCAATGAGGAAGATCCGGGGAGATTTACAGAAGCAGCTGCAACTGGCTGTTGGTGCAATGAAGGCTTATGGAGATCATCCTGGTGAGTTGAAATGCAATGACCGTGCGCTGCTTGCATTCTGCCGGACCTTGCAGTTCAGGCATGAGACTGGTGTCCGTGTAGCGGAGAGGGTGGGTGACATTCAGCTGATTGTCCCAGACGCTTCCATGGGCTCTGGGGCATCAGTGGATGGTCAGCCCGATCCTGCTTCGGTGCCGGAACCGTCCAACGATGGAGCATCTGCCGCCCTGCAACCAGCAGACTCGGTGTTGGCGGCGAGGAAAGCGGTCAAGTTTGAGGATTTCATCAGGGAGGTCCGCACCATAAAGAACAGGTGTTGGGAAGGAGACGCAGCATCGCAACCCTTGGACTACGTCCACGAGCTGATGGACCGAGTTTTGGACGCGAAGGAGCCTGAGAAGTTCCTGATGCTGAAGCATGAGTGGCAGAAGCTTGAGAAGATGTTTCGGGGTATTGCAAAGGGCATCAAGCAGTCCGCAGACGATGTCACGAAGCACATGCGGCTCAAGGTATCGGAACACGCTCGGGAGAAGAAACGCAAGGCTGAGCAGGAGGCACGTGACAGTCTGAATAAGGTAAAGGAGGAGGCAAAGAAAGCGCAGGATGCAATCAAGAAGCGGAAGCTCGCTTTGGATGCTGAGGAAACGAAGCTGTACACGGCTGATCTTCAGCCGAGCGTTGTGCCCCTTGTCGACAAGGTGGAACAGCTACGGGCTCAGGATGACCAGTGGAAGTTTCCGTGGCTGATGGACGGAGGCGAGCAGCTGGAGTTGCAGTTTGCAGAAACGATTCTGCAAAAGGCGTTGACTTCATGGGCAGGTCAATACAAGAAGCTCTTGAGCCAGTCAAAGCCCAAGGTGAGCATCGTGACGTACCCGTTGGAAGAGAAGCAGGGAAGGAAGCATGTCAACGATTACATGGCGACATACATGAAGAAGGCCGTTGACATCAGCGAGGTGACAGGCGGCCAGAATTTCATGGATACAGTTTGGCTCTACGGCATTGCGCCAGATCATCGGTCCATGTCGTTTTTGCCAAATTTTGCTTCGCAGACCCGGGTGCAGCTGATGGGTGAGAACCGCATGCTGATGTTTGAGTGGGCTACTTTGGTCAAGGCTATGGAGGAGGAAGCAAAGGCTGACAACAAGGAGCCCAAAGACATGGCAGCGATGTCTGAGGATTTGAAAACGGCCAATGCGGACCGTCTCGGCGGCCTTGTGAAGTTGGGTGCCACGGTGCGGCAATGCACCCTGAAAAAGAATATGATTCTTTTCATTCCTACGGGATGGCTTGTGGTGGAGATTGCCGGTGGGTCCCCCATCAACTACGGGTGCCGCAAGAGTTGGTTTGATTCCATCAATGTCGCAAAGTACACTGCCTCAATCAAGGTAGCTAAGGCCAGTGGTTCCCCCGACAGCAGCCTAGACCGCATGAACAAGATCCTTGAGGTTTTGGTGGCCAAAACGGCCAGGTAGGTTACTTGTACAATTCCCGGGGTGGTTCCGGTAGTCTTGCTTGCGATGCTCCGATTTTAATTTGCTTAGGAGCGGGAGCCAATGTGAGACCACTGCAAGCAGTGGCAGTCTGAGCTACCGGAGCACTGAGCTCGGGTGACCCTGAGCCTCGAGAGTGTGGAGCCAAAAAACGACCGGTAGGCCGCAGGCCTATTTGGGTTTAGGATTGGGTGTTTAGGCTTGGGGTTTTGCGCTTAGGGTGCAGGTTTGGGGATTACGTTTAAATTCAGCCTTAGGAACC